CATGAAAAAGCAATCCAAAGTCAAATTTTACAAAGGTTTACCTCCGGAAGGAGCCTTAGCCAAATGGTTTAAACCGCAAGATCATGGTATATTAGTCTTGGATGATCTCATAATAATAACAATATATACATTTATATAGCGCCTTTCTCTTTGTGATCCAAAGCGCTTTACAATTAGTAGTAATAGTAATAAACCTAATAAAATATTACAAAGACTTATTTATTAAAAATAAAGAGTAAAAATAGAAATAGAAATAATAATAAATAAATAATAAAAAATAAAATAAAATTACAGCTAAAAAGCACGCTTAAAAAGAAATGTTTTGATTTTTGATTTGAAAGCGTCCAGCTAACAACATGCGCGTATACTGACTGGCAGGGAATTCCATATCTTAGGAGATGCCTGTGAAAAAGCTCTGTAACCATAGGTTTTAAGCTTGTATTTAGTTTTTACTGAGAGTCCTTTATCTGTAGAACGCAGAGTTCTTGTTGGTCTATAACGAACTAACAATTCTTCCATATAAGGCGGTGCTAAATCATTAAGTGACTTAAATGTAAGAAGTAAAAGTTTAAGCTAAATTCTTTCCGCCATAGCCAACCAATGAAGAGACCTAAAGATGGGTGAAATATGCTCATGTTTCCTAGTACCAGTCAAAAGACGTGCGGCAAAATTTTGCACTAGCTGAAGTTTGTTAATAAGATCCTGGCGAAGCCCAGATAAGAGAGAGTTACAGTAGTCCAGTTTTGACGTAATAAATGTATGTATTAAAATATTTCAATGAGTAAAAGATATGTTTCTTAATTTTAGCGATGTTGCGCAGGAGGTGGTAATGATAAACGTGTGTTGGATTTATTTACCAAACATTCTCATCGTCGTGGCATTACAGCCATGTACTTAATCCCAAGATTTATTTCCACCCGGAAAATATGCCAAAACCATTAATCGTAATGCGCATTATGTGATTTGCTTCAAATGTCCACGCGATAAAACAAGAATTCGTAATTTACTACTTCAAGTGTATCCTGAGAAATGGCGCAAAGTCCTCAAATTATTTTTAAGACTTACTGCTCGCCCTTTTGGGTATTTCATGCTGGATTTACATCCTGCCTGGGATGATCGGTTTCGTATTTGGAGTCATTTAACCAAACGAGAAGGGAAACCACAACTGCATACCTTTGATGAAGATATAAATAGATGCTCCATTAAAACGTGAACATTTATTGAAGAAAAAGACCTGCTTACGGGAAATCTAGACGGCGTAAAGCGGGAGTAGCCAGGGCTGACCCTGCTTTAACTGCAGGGGGTTAAGCTGCAGCTTTAGGAGGATTGAGTGCAGCGCCTAGTTATGATACGAAAAAAAAGCTTCGGATCCTGCATCACGCGCTGCTGCTAAACGTAAGCGCAAGTATAAAAATAAACGCACACGATCAGTCCGTTAAATCTTATTCAAGATGACAGGGCAAATGTCACGTCAAGCGACTTTTTTAAAAAGTGTGTTGAATGAAGCGAATTTACATAAACGCCAACAACAATTACGGCATACGAATACAGATAAAATTAATGCGGTGAGTGAATTACTTATGAATACTCTACGGGGAGCTGTACCCAAAGGAAGACAGACTCTAAGAAGATTCAAACCTCATGCCAAAACAACTCCGAGTCGTTGCCAACCCACGACAAAGTATAAAAAGGCGACGTGGTCTTATGATGCATTAGTTACGGGGTAGTGCGTGACAAGAATTGCGACGCTGTTATCACTGTGGTCGAACATAGTATCGTTACTAGAAAACAAGATGAGGAAACAAGCACTGCTTGATCGTTTACTTTGTGTGGTCCTAGGCATTTTATCATTGGCTGACATGCTGAAAGAACTACAACAAAAACTGAAACAAAAGTTTCGTTACCTCTTTCAACGAAAAGTACAGGTAGCTGTTTTTTAGGATGATATGGACATTAGTGTATCAGTATGGATGGAATAAGCAGCACTCCTGTCACAGATTTAGTCCGATTTTTACGTTTGCTTGATCAATACAAATCAAAACTCTTGGATGGTAGTCTTTTAACCAAAGCAGCAGATTTAGCAACTCAACAACATGTCCTGTTTAGCAGTAAAGCACCTGATACATGGAAAGAACCACGATTAAAAGCCGCGACAATTAAGTCAATGGACTAAAAAAGTATGACAACCAGGAGGCACGCGTGCGATAGGTAGTGGAGAGTATGAGGAGGAGCAGTCCGATGAAGAAGGAGATAATTTAGCGGTAGGACCTAAGCATCAAATGATTACCAAGCTAGCCAAGATTCAAAAAGGTATAAAAAGACCTCTACAACCTTCAACACCTATCACTCCAAAGACACCTGACCTCTCTATCAAACAGTCACTCCCTCAAGTAGTAAAAAACCCAAGTTTTCTTTTAAGACTGGGTCAAAAGGAAAACGATTATTGCCCAAGACACCTCTATAAAAGTCAAGTCTAAAAAAAATCTCCCTCCTACTTCAAGACACCTGAGAAGTCCTCAGAAGAATTAGCCACTGAGCTACCATTTTCGCATACAGTGGGTCAGTCTCGTTGGAATACGTGTGCTGAATCAGCCAGAGATACCATTCGAAAAATCAGACGACAAACACGTAAAGCGTTAGTCAAAGAAGGAGCTAAACAAATCAAAAGGGGAATTTTGAAAAAATTAGAACTTGCACCTCGTTGGAAACCATTTGGGACGCCTGTGAAGCGAAAACTCAATGGCAAAGACCGGTAAAAAAAAACCGCGCAAACGAATACGGAGAAGGAGGAGGCGACAGCGAGGTGGGAAATTTGATATTCAGAAAGCTTTGAGCGAGACTGCGATCGAGTTCCATATTCCATCATACCAATAAGCTGGGCCTGGCACTTGGTTAGAGAAGAGACTTGCTAGAAAGGATCCAGGCAAGAACAGATTTGATCGAATTGCAAAGCAGCACGATTTCGCAAATAGTTACGCAAAAAAATTTACAGGATAAGTGGAGAGCGGATGAAGACATGATCCGGTCCACTGATCGGTTGCCGCGCAAGAAAACCTTGACGGAAAAAACAGTGAAAAGAATCATACAAGCGAAAAAACGTCTCAAGTTGTAATTGTTTTAGTCTTAATAAAAATGTATGTTGTTTACATTTCTGGTTTGGTTTTACAGTGTTTGTTTCGTGGTAGGGACTTGTTTGAAGGGGAGAGTGATAATACTTTGACTATCTTGGGTTCAAAGTAAGAGATTTGTAATCCATCTGGGACATAATAGACTTCTCCAAGAATCTGCGTGACCGAATCTTCCACCACCGCACTTTTGGTCAAACTGGAATACACAAACAACGGTCTCAGCTCAAGGTTGACAATTTCTTGAAAAAACTGTGTTGAGTTCTACAGATCGCCAATCATTGAACGCACTCAGGTAAAGCCATTCTCTATCAAGGTGATAGGAACTATTATTACTGAGTTCACTTGCCGGTCGCGTATAGTTGGGATAGGTTTCCACTAGATGTGTTCCCAACACCAATGATTTATCTTTTATTTGAAATAACCATCGTATCCTGTAAACAAAGGCCTTTAGGATTCTAATGGAATTAGTTCTAACACTATGTTTGAGGAGCAATTCATGTTGAGTGTGTTCCTGTTTCCATTCCAACTCGGACCATTTATTAGCAGCGATTCTTTTATTGGGTGGTAAATAAGCACAACGGCGTTCATTCAATATCAATTTGGTCATGCTCATAATATCCACTCCATCACGGGAACAATTCTGTGTTTCCCACTCTGCAATATCCTTACCAGATACCCAAGTCTTTGCTCTTTGCGATACCCCTTCTATATTATAAAACATTTCAAAGAGATTTTTGCCGAGGCGTTATTCATGAGTTTGAAAAACTCGTGAATGCCTTTATTTTATCCAACTTTTTTCGCCGGAACCTCTGTAGCCTAGTGAGTAGAGCTCGCTGTCTATCTCAGGATCTGGCGCCCTTTTGTTCATCCAAAGGTTGTCCGTTGGAGCTCTTCTATATAAGACAGAAAATTTGCATGCGCTCGGTGACACAAAGTCTTCCTAGCTCTTTTAGGAGCCACCACATTTCAATAAACGTTTTATAACTAATTCTGACTTGATTGTGCATGCGTATGACCACGTTTTGCACTGTGCAGGGACACTCATTCTGTCCCACAATCTTGACTTGACTTCGTTCGTCACATATGTAAACTCCGAAGACATTATCTCTTGAATAACTAATACTACGACGTCTCTCCGATACACATCCGAAGACTGCCCGATCTTTTTACGATCTCCAACAATAGCCTTTCCTCCCGACCGATCAGCGTACAGCAGAACAATAACCTCATTAGCATAACAAAAGGCCAATATACTGACCCCTCAATGTAGTGAGGGAAGGGGCGGCGGAGCCTGTAATCATTTCTTTAAACGATTATATCAACACTCTCAAAGCGGGTCGTTCCTGTCACTTAGAAAGATGGCGTGTGGCGTCCACGCGCGTGAAATAGAGGAATCCACGATAACTTCTCTGTTGATAACTTCTGGTGTTGAACGAATGTTTACAAGATTTCCCGCGCATTGGAGCGCCGAGGAAGGAACAGCCGAAAACCCGCCTTGTAAACTTGGCGCGTGGAAAATATGTTTTTTTTAATCCTGCCGACCTGCTTCGGTCTTGCCTGATAACAACGTGGTAAATAAATAACAGGACAGTCGCAAGTAGGAGTTATCTACGCGCTCCAGTCTAGACTCACGTTATCTTTAGATCTCTTTAGAAGAACAAGCTAGAGTTTAACAATCATTGCATAAGAGCAACCTTGACTGACTCACAACGTAGTTCTTCATATGTAAAGTAGCTTCAGTTTAAGCTGCAATCAGTGCAATCCATTCTTCGAAATTTAGTTCTGTGAATCACTATCCGTGAGAACTTAACTTCTTGCAAAAACACTAACAAGCTATTTCCAGCGTGACAAAACATTGTAGTAAACCATCACATTCACGAACAAAAGGAAATCGCTTTCAGTTATAACAGAACAAGAAGGACTTTAAAGAGAAGTAAATAACCTAAAACCCTCATCTAACCACATTTAAGAACCGTACGTTTAAAAAAAATCAAAGAAAATGCTCTTTCGTAACATAGGAAATCAGCAATCATGCCGACCAGAAACAAAATCAATCTGCGTGTCACGACCTCTCAGCATAACACAAGCAGCAAAAATCACATCGTTTGTTCAGTCAAAATGTAGACCCCTCCAGAGCATAATCTACCCGGAAGAGAAAATATTCATTGAAAGAAGCAGCATTTTGGCACGAGGTGTTGCATACCGACCCGCTTTTTACACTCAAGATTGCACACGCTCGCATGAGGGATTAGCGTCACGTGTAATAATCTCGCGAGAAATTTGAGAAAGATTCCAACTTATTCACATTTCAACAGTTTAACAGCCGAAATCTAATCATCTCAAACGTGTCAAAAGTGGGCGGAAGAGGGTCGTAAAAGAAATGATTACAGGCTCTATCTCCCTTCCTTTTTCCTTCTTCCCGCCCCGCCAACTTTTCGCGCGCCTTTTTTTTTCGCGTCGTCCCCACTATCTGAGAGCCTGGAACAGGCTATGGATGAGGAAATTTGGATACGACGTAGCGTACGAACGACCGTCCGTACATTCACTACGTGTAAGCAGATGTCAAGTGTCACATTAGATCTCGCTCAGATATTGACCCTAGCGTGTCAGTTATGTAAGCCATCCATATGAGGATGAATTGACAGCTGTCCAAATCAGACATCCGCTGACAAATATCACATGACAATCTCGCGGGCTCAGATGAGAAACTAGTCATTTTTCCCCTACATAAAGCTGATTTAATATAACACACTTACCAAAATATTTTTCCAGGGCAGGGCTGTCAGTAGTTTAAAGTTATACGCGCAAGCCAAATTAAGGTTAATTGACAGCTGTCAAAATGGGTCATGTCAAGACTCTATCACAAAACTAATAACGTGGGCTCAGGTACACGATCTGGCATTTCGCCACTCACTACAAGCCGGACTGAAATGTCTTACAGTCACAGTCGACTGTCCGTTTTGTCCGAATATTCGCCATCCTAATAAAGGTCAATTGACAGCTGTCAAACTAGAGCATCCGCTGGCCGTCATCACCTGACTGTATCGCGAGCTCATATGTATACCCATTGAGGTCACGTATTTTTTAAAGTTTTCCCGTAATGTTTAATAATACCTGACTGACACGGACCTCCTAACCGTCCGCACCAAAGGCATACCAATGTTTAATCTCACTTTTTCTAGCTAGTTTGGGACCCTGCAGCCGGATACTGTACATCCATTTGACCATCCATGTTGTGATCAGTTGACAGCTGTCAAAACAGTATATCCGCTGACCAATATCGCCTGACCGTATCGCGGGCTCAGGTATCGCCCCACTGAGTTCCAGTACTTTTGGAAACTATCCGCTGACAAGTTATTACCTTTCAAATGATCGCAGGCTCAAGTTCAATTTTTAAATGCATGTGAAACAAGTTATGTTCATGAGCTGCACCATTAAAATTTTGATTTCAAACTGACTAACCTAAACATAATAAATTCTCTATCATGTTGAAGCGTAACTCTAGTAATGTTCAATTACTTACAAGACAGCTGGGACTGAAAATTTGGTACTTGTCAAAATTGAGAACACGTACTTCCGGCTGGCCGTATAGGTGATTTAAGGAATTTTTTTATCGTCTTCACTAAAAGTCCATACTTATTGCCCTACATATAACATAGGAGCATATGTAAAACGGATTTGTTTGACTCTTGGACTGTCAAATTATTTTTGTCTAAAATCAGTTAGCCTTTCTCTTAAAAGTCACATGAATGTACCCTAAAGTTAACTGACCTTTGGATGAAAAGTTTATTCTTTAATTTAAATTGTAAATATTTTAACGGGATCTTCGCTTTTAGCCCAGGATAAATCTATATATTAAGGCCTGTTACGCCGCAAAATGTAATATTAACGCAAAATGTAATAAGAATCGCCGCAAAATGTAATACTAACGCAAAACGTAATAACATTGACGCAAAATGTAATAAAATTTTCAACGCAGAATGTAATAATCTTTCAACGCAAATTGTAATAACTTTTCTAACGCATAATGTAATAACGCAAAATGTAATTAATTATTAATATCAATATTGATATTA